CTGCACTCCAGCCTGGGCGACAGAGCAAGACTCAATCTCAAATAAATAAATAAAAAACAAAAAAATTTTTGTTCTGTGAAAGACCCTGTAAAAAAGACAAAAAGACAAACCTAAAGGCTGGGAGGAAATATTTGCAAATCGCATATCTGACAAAGGACTTGTATTTAGAATATCCAAAGAACTCTCAGACACTGAACAACATTGCATCCAATTAGAAGACGCGCAAAAGACACGCACAGGCACTTCACTGAGGAGGATATACGGTTGGCAAATAAGACACGAAAAGGCGTTCAACATCATTAGCTATTAGCAACAAGCAAATTAAAATCACAATGAGACATCACTGCACACCTATCAAAACAGCTAAAATGAAACACGGTGACAACGCCAAATGGTGATGAGGATGTGGAGACCCGGATCACTCACACTCTGCTGGTGGGAATGTAAAATGATACAGACACTCTGGAAAACAGTTTGGCAGTTCCTTTTAAAACTAAAAATGGATTTACCATACGGTAAGCAATTGTACTCCTGGGCATTTATCCCAGAGAAATGAAAACTTATTTTCATGCAGAAACCTGTATGCCTGAATGTACATGTTCACCGCATGAATATTTATAATAGCCAAAACTCGGAAACTACCCAAATTGTCTTTTTTTTTTTCCCCTTTTTTTAAAGATATTCTCGCCTTGTTGCCCAGGCTGGAGTGCAATGGTGTGATTTCAGCTTGCTGCAACCTCTGCCTCCCAGGTTCAAGCGATTCTCTTGTCTCAGCCTCCCGAGTAGCTGGGATTACAGGCATGTGCCATCATGCCTGGCTAATTTTTTGTATCTTTTGTAGAGACGGCGTTTTACCATGTTGGCCAGGCTGGCCTTGAACTCCTGATCTCGTGATCCACACGCTTTGGCCCAAATGTCTTCTAATTTTTTTTTATTTTTTATATTTATTTATTTATTTATTTATTTAAAAAAAGATAGAGATGGGGTTTCACCATATTGGCCAGGCTGGTCTCAAACCCCTGACCTTGTGATCCGCCTACCTCGGCCTCCCAACGTGCTGGGAGTACAGGTGTGAGCCACCGCGCCCGGCCTAAATTTTTTAAAAAATATATTTTTAATGTTTTAAAAAATTTTAGCTCAGCGTGGTGGCTCACGCCTGTAATCCCAGCATTTTGGGAGGCTGAGGGTGGGCGAATCACCTGAGGTCAGGAGTTCAAGCCAGCCTGGCCAACATGGTGAAACCCTGTGTCTACCAAAAATACAAAAATTAGCCGGGCATGGTGGCGCATACCTATAATCCCAGCTACTCGGGAGGCTGAGGCAGGAGAATCACTTGAACCTAGAGCAGAGATTGTGCCACTGCACTCCAGCTGGAGAAACAGAGCAAGACTTCATAACCCAGGAGCATAGATTCAGAGTGTCCCGAATATGCCCTCCCTCAAATGTCTTTTCATGGGTGAGCGGTTAAACTGTGGTACATCTAGACCATGGAATAAACAGCATAATAAATGAGACTTGCAACAATGTGAATGAACCTTAAGGATATTCTAAGTGGAAAAGACAACCTCTAAAGGATACATATGTCTGATTCCTTTTATCTAACATTCACTAAATAATAATTAAAAAGACAGGCTGGGTGCGGTGGCTCATGCCTGTAATGCCAGCACTTTGGGATGCCCAGGTGGGAGGATGGCTTGAGGCAAGGACTTCAAGACCAGTCTGGGTAACACAGTGAGACCTTGTCTCTATGAAAGAAAAGAAAAATTGGCTGGGTGTGGTGGTGCATGCATGCCTGTAGTCTTAGCTACTTGCAGGGCTGAGGTGGGAGGATTGCTTGAGTCCAGGAGAGGGAGGCCTCAGTGAGCTATGATCGTGTCATTGCACTTCAGCCTGGCTGACAGAGTGAGACTCTGTCTCCAAAAAAAAAAAGAGCCTCAGAACAGATGAATGGTGAATGGCTGCCAGGGTTAGAAATAGGGGAAGGAGATGGGTGTGGCTATGAAAGGGTAGCATGAGGCACCTCGTGATGGTTACACAAGACTCCACATGTGATAAAACTGCACAGAGCTACAGACACACACACACAGAGAAATGAGTGCATGTATAACTGGTGAATTCTGAATAAGCCGTAGGCCTGTACCCATGTCAACCTCTTGCTCTGATAATGCGTCACAATCATACAAGACATTAACAACAGGGAAGGCTGCATGAAGGGGTCACAAGTCCTCCCTGTGTGCTTTTTGACAACTTCCTGTGATTCAATAATTATTTCAAAATAAAAATTAAAAAAATAACAATAAAGGGAGATACCAAGACCTTAGGGGGAAAAAATAGCTCCCAAGAGCTTTTCGTAACACCACTGCCAGCTCCTTTGTTACTGGTGAGTTGCTCTGACTGCCTTTTCTAACCTCAGTCCCTGCTGTTGCCTGGGTGCCCCCACACCCCATGTCCTCCACATACTAGTTTCCTCTCTGATTCACCTGCATTTCACAGCATCCTGCTTGTTCACATCTGCGGCCTTTTCTGTCTGGAATGGCCTTTTCCTGCCTCTCTGCGGCAAACTCCTGTTAGTCCCTTAAAGTTCTGTTCAGATACCACCTCCTCCAGGCAGCCAGCCTAGACCTCCAGGGCTGGGCCGTGTTCCCTCCTCTTCTGTTAGAGTGCTCATTAGAACACTTTCCATCACAGTCAGCAAGGGCTGACTACAGAACCCCCGGTGACCAAGTATCTTAAATATTCCTCCTGGCACGCAGAAAGCTCTTAAGACCCTTTGCGGAATGAAAGCTGAATGGCGGCTACTAGAAAAAGAAATAGTGGGTATGTTTCCCCAATTTAACAAGAGGCTGAGAATTTGACAATGGAAGAGTGTGGCGACTCTCAGAGCATGGTCCCTGGTGCAGCACCCCGAACCTACCAAGTCAGAAATTCGAGGCTCAGGCCCAGTATTTTAACAAGTCCTCCTCTGGGTGATTCCAACACCTGCTAAAGATTGAGAACCACTGGTTTAGTGGCCTGATCCCTGGCCTTAAGGCAGGTGGGCTTTTTTTTTGAGAGGGAGTCTCACTCTGTCATCCAGGCTGAAGTGCAGTGGCGCATTCTTGACTCACTGCAACCTCTGCCTCCCAGGTTCAAGTGATTCTCCTATCTCAGCCTCCCAAACAGCTGGGATTACAGGCCCGTGCCACCACGCCCAGTTAATTTTTGTATTTTTAGTACAGACGGAGTTTCACCATGTTGGTCAGGATGGTCTTGATCTCTTGACCCTGTGATCCGCCCACCTCAGCCTCCCGAAGTTCTGGGATTACAAGCGTGAGCCACCGCACCCAGCCAGTGGCTTCATTTTAACAAACCTGCATACTCCATCCTTTCACCCAATATATACCAAAGATGAGCCACGTGTCAGACCCTGTGCTATGTGACGGGAGGTCTTGGAGAGCACGCTTACTCTCTCTCTATGTCTCTCTCTCGCTCCCTCACAGGTGCACACACATCCACATGTGCAAGTGCACACACTTAGCTGGCTAATAAGGATGGCGAATGCTTAAGGCCATGTCAGAAAATACACAGGGAACTGGGTTGCCTCAAGAGGGAGGTCCAGGGAAGGGTTCTAGAGGGAGCACAAGAGCTCGAGTTGGTAGGATGGGGGGAGTGTGGGTGAGGAGTGTGAAGCATATCCAGGCCAAGGCAAGAATACAGTCAAGGTTCTGAAATACACACAGTCCCTCAAGGAAGCTGGGAGTGGCCATGTGGCTGATGCGTTGCACTGCAGGAGGCTCACAAGGTACAGGGGCCCTGGTGGCCACAGGGAGGGGGCAAAAGCTGTGCCGTAAGAGCTCTGGAGTTGTGACAGGGTTTGGAGCAGGGGACAGGAATGGTCAGATACAGAAAGATCTGGCAGGGTGCGCTGGCTCACACCTGTAATCCTAGCACTTCGAGAGGTCAAGGCAGGTAGATCACTTGAGGCCAGGAATTCGAGACCAGACTGGTTAACATGCTGAAACTCCGTCTCTACTAAAAATACAAAAATTATTGTATTTTTACAAAATACAATAATTTTTTATTGTATGGGCATGGGGACGGGAGCCTGTAATCCCAGCTACTAGGGAGGCTGAGGCAGGAGAATGGCTTGAACCCGGGAGGCGGAGGTTGCAGTGAGCTGAGATCAAGCCACTGCACACCAGCCTGGGCGGCAGAGTGGTCTCAAAAAAAAAGGCATAGAAAGAGCCTTCTGGCTGCTGAGTGGAGGGGGGACCAGGGGAGGTGAGATGAAGGCTAGAAGCCCACTGTGGTGATCTGAAAAAAACAGCAGGGAAAAGAGGAGGGGTGGGCAACAGAGATGCTCAGGAGGTGGACTGCAGGGAGGAGGAGGAAGGGGACGTTCACAGGATGAGGCCCATGGCTCAGGCCGAAGGACTGGGATTGGTGTGGCTGTCCCTGAACCAGAAACCTGGAAGTGGAGGAAAAACAGAGGGCACCAGGGCTGAAGGCAGCTGGGCAATCAGCTCAGCTGGAGCCAGAGCCTAAAGGGCCTTGAATGCCAAGGTTATCCTGAGGGCACTGGGGAGCCCCGGAGGGTTTGAGGAGATCTCTCAGGCTGCCAGCTTGCAGATGGACCCAAGGGGGCAGAAGGGAAGCCGGAAATATTTTGAAAACTGGGTAATGCTGGCAGCGTGGTCCGAGGGGCTTAGGGCTGGAGACAGTTAGGTGCGTGGTCATGCCGGATGGTGGAAGCTCTTGCCTGAGCCATGACACAGGCGTCAAGAGAACAGCAATCAAAATTCTGCTGCAAGGAAAGCCAACAATGGGTCCTGCCCAGCCCAGCCCAGTTTAGCTCTAAAACATGAGACATAACCACCCCATGGGGCTCCTTTGAGGACCTTCGGGGATCCAGAAACCCCAAAAATGGCAAATAAAATTGTGGGGGTGTGCATTTCCTGGGGAAGAAGGAGCCACAGCTTTGATCAGATCCCTTAACACGAAAAGAACGGAGAGAGGCTGACCTTTCTGGGGATGGCTTGTATCTCACGTAGGTGGCCGAGCCGGGGGTGGAGAAGCTCCCAGAAGGCTGTCGGTAGGGAGGGACTCTGTCGGCCCCTGCTGGTGATACTGTGTAAGGGGTTTCTGGGAAGCTGACTGGCCTGGAAGGAGACAGGGGAGGAAGGTGTCAGGGGTGAGTGGGAGGGTACCCTTTCCCTGGGAGGACAGATATATGGACAGACAGACAGACCGTCCCCCGTCAAGCCACATCCCTTCTGCTATCCACCGCTTAGGATGAAGGGGAGGATGCTGAGCATAGGGCAAGATAAGCTGGGATGCCCCTGGGCCCCCTCCTCCCAGAGCCACTGCAGCTGCCCTAACCCACAGCTTCTGCAGTGTAACAGGGGCTGCCCAAGACCGTTCTCACCTCCCCCCACCTGGGGACAAGATGTCCCTCTGCAAGTTGGATTCCTTCATTTTTTGGAAAATTTTCTTTTTATCTTTTAATATATAATATCTTCAAAAGAGTATCTGTAAGTTATATTTGTCATCATCACAAAACAAACTCCCTGAAGCTTCCACCCAACCCCAGGACTGGAATGGTGGTGATAACATCTACCCATGGGCTTCCCCACTTCCCATTTCCCTGCCTCCTCCAAAAAGAAATCACGGCCGGGCATGGTGACTCACACCTGTAATCCCAGCACTTTGGAAGGCCGAAGCGGGTGAGTCATGAGGTCAGGAGTTTGAGACCAGCCCGGCCAACATGGCTAAATCCCGTCTCTACTAAAAATACAAAAAAATTAGCCAGGCGTGGTGGCAGGCGCCTGTAGTCCCAGCTACTTGGGAGGCTGAGGCAGGAGAATCGCTTGAACTTGGGAGGCAGAGGTTGCAAGGAGCCGAGACTGTGCCATAGCACTCCAGCCTGGGCAACAGGGTGAGACTCCATCTCAAAAAAGAATTCACTGTCCTAAATTTTGTGATTATCAGTCTCTTCACCTTAGAAAAAAACAGTTTTAATTTTTTATCTTTTTCAGAGATGCGGTATTGCTCAGTCTGGAGTGCAGTACTGCAATCACAGCTCACTGGAACTCCTGGCTCAAGCCATCCTCCCACTTCAGCCTCTTGGGCAGCTGGGACCACAGGCGTGCATCATACCTGGCTAATATGTAATAAATGTTTTTTTTACAGAGCCAGGATTCTACTATGTTGCCCAAGCGGGTCTCTAACTCCTGGCCTCAAGCAATGCTCCTGCTTTGACCTCCCGAAATGTTGGGATTATAGGCATGAGCCACTGTGTACAGCCTAAAAAAGCAGTTTTAATTTAATTTAATCGTCTACTTAGTATAGTGGATTTCCAACTCAGATGCTGAGCTCCCCAGCATTGGGTCTTCAAACAAAAGCCCCACAGTGAAAGCTGAAGGGAAGGAGGGAGGGAGGAACAATGGAGACAGAAGCATAAGAAGGAAGGTCAAAAGCCTGAGGCGAGGAAGAGGATGGAGAAAAACAGTGTGGAGAGGGAGGGGCGGAGGACAGGTTCGGGCAGGGCAGTATTCGTCCCCCCCACCCCCGCCAAGTGCTTACCTCTTGCTGTGCAGTGGCTGGGACTCCCTGAAGGGGACCATGGGGGTCTGCTTCGGGGGCCGGCTCAGGGACTGGGCGTGGCCAGGGGTGGTGGGAGTGGTCCACTTGGAGGCTGGTAGAGAGTTATGGGATGCAGGCCCACTCCACTGCCAGGGAGCATTGCTGCGGTAGGGGGGCCGGCCCCCAGGAGTGATGCTTTCCTGCTCTGTCTTGGGCTCCGAGGTATTCATGTCATAGGTCTCTGGCCAACCCCTGGGGAGAAAAACTGCATCACACAGGCCCCAGCCCACCAGCACGTGGGCCTGCTGTCTAGGCTGGGTTTTCCTGGCCCAATATGAACAAGGATGATCTATTTTTTCTTTTTTTTTTTTTTTTGAGACAGAGTCTCTCTCTGTCACCCAGGCTGGAGTACAGTGGCATGATCTCAGCTCATTGCAACCTCTGCCTCCTGGGTTCAAGAATTCTCTTGCCTCAGCCTCCTGAATAAGCGGCACCACACCTGGCTAGTTTTTGTATTTTTAGTAGAGAAGGAGTTTCACCACCTTGGCCAGGCTGATCTTGAACTCCTGACCTCAGGTGATCCACCCATCTCAGCCTCCCAAAGTCCTGGGATAACAGGCATGAGCCACTGTACCTGGCCAGGTATGGCCTATTTTAAAAGTTGAGTGAATACCCCTTAAAATGGTCTGAAACTTACCAGCTCAGAGTCTTCAACCAGGACAGGACCCAAGACAGGGGCTCTGACTGCCTGGTCCTTTCCACCTCATCTCCTTTCCCCTCCTCTCACTCTCTCTGTTCCCTCCCCTCGCTTCTACCTGACCCAGGCCACACGTCTGCCAGTGTCCTCCATGGACCTGCCTGGCCCCCCTTAGCGGTACTCGGGGCCAGAAAGGCAGATGTCCTCAGAATCAAAGGACAGTATCTGCCTTGTTCCAAAGACTCTTAAAGGCAGCTGGAAGAGGAGCAGGTGACCTACTTTGCAGGGTGGTTTAAAAAAAAAAAAAGCCATGAAATCCACAACCTTGAAATAGATGCAGAGAGGCCTGTGACTCCCCCTAGACCAGGCTGGCACCTGCACCGGGGTACTCCTGGCTTGAGGTAGGGAGATCTGCCGGCGGGGCTGGCATTCTCCACTGCCACTGCAGTGCCGCATGGGAGGGGCCCCAAGCCCAAGGATGAGGCCGGGGCAGTGCCTGGAAAATCCACCTCCCGACAGCTGTGAGAGCTGAGCTCAGAGGAGCCTTCAGCCTGGAAGCTCCCATGCCCCCATCGAGCCGATCCTCTGAGGGTCTCCTGAGTTTCCTGGAGCCACCTGGTTCAAGGCCACCCAGCAAAAGATTTGATAGATATGGTGGTTCAGAGGCTGCTATGGTCTGGATGTGGGTTGCCCCAGAAGTCATGTGTTGGAAACTTAACCCCCAATGCTACTGTTGGGTGGTGGAGCCTAGTGGGAGGAGCTCAGGGCCCAGCCCTCATGAATGGATGAATGCTGCTATAAAAAGGGCTTGCGGGAGTGGGTTCTCTGCTCTTCTGCTGTGTGTGGACATGGTGTTCCTCTCCTCCAGAGGTCACAGTGTTCAAGGCACCACCATCTTGGAAGCAGAAAGACCAGGCCCTATCCTGCCAGTGACTAGATCTTGAACTTGCAGCCCCCAGAACTGTGAGAAATGTATCTCTGTTCTTTATAAGGTATTCCATCTCGTATTCTGTCATCACAGCACAAAACAGACTAAGGTAGAGGTGGATGTGCTCTGGTACCCAGGGCCTAAAACACCATCCCTTGGTAACACCAGGGCTGGAGCCAACACGCAGCAGTGTCTTCTGGCTGTCTCTTTGGATTGGCAGCTGCCAATATCTTACCAGGCACCAGGTGAGGAACAATAACAATATGAATGTCTAACAGAGCCTGCAGACATGCCAGGCCCAGGCAGAGGTGGGAACAGGTACCATCGCTGTCTTCAGGCAGGGCACACCTGCCATTCCTGCCTGCCTGGTGTCTCTCCCCACACCCCCTCTCCTGATAACAGGTCTTTGTTAATATGGGCTCTGGGTGGGGCTGATCCCACTTATTGGCTCCAGGTATGTGACCCAGGCCCGACCAATCAGAAGCTTTCTCCAAGCCCCCACCCCAACACAACGACTAGCGCAGAACTGTCATGTGCTCTAAGCACGGCCAGCAAGAGATAATAAGTATTAATCCTGGAACCTGGAACTGTTTTTGTTTGTTTTTTTGAGATGGAGTCTTGCCCTGTTGTTCAGGTTGGAGTGCAATGCTGAGATCTCGGCTCACTGCAACCTCTACCTCCCAGGTTCAAGTGATTCTCGTGTCTTAGGCTCCCGAGTAGCTATGACTATAGGGGTGCCCCACCATACTCAGCTACCTTTTGTATTTTTCATAGAGATGGCGTTTCACCATGTTGCCCAGGCTGGTCTCGAACTTCTACTGACCTCAAGTGATCCACCCTCCTTGGCGTCCCAAAGTGCTGGGATTACAGGCGTGAGCCACCGCACCCAGCTTTTTTTTTTTTTTTTTTTTTTTTTTTTTTTTTGAGACACAGTGTTGTTCTGTTACCCAGGCTAGAGTGCAGTGGCTCGTTCTCTAGGTTTGAGCGATCCTCCTGCCTCGGCCTCCTGAGTAGCTGGAATTACAGGCATGTGCCACCATGCCTGGCTAATTTTTGTATTTTTAGTAGAGACAGGGTTTCACCACGTTAGCCAGGCTGGTCTTGAATTCCTGACCTCAGGTGATCAGCCTACTTTGGCCTCTCAAAGTGCTAGGATTATAGGTGTGAGCCATCATGCCCTATTCTGGAACTGTTTTTGAAAACAGGGAAAATTAGGGAAAAAAATCTATTTCCACTGGAGCTGCTGGGCTGAGGGAACTTAAATTCAGAGCTGTGGGAGTGGGGGTAGAAGACTGCCTGAAAATGACAGTAAGTGTGGAGGTAAAGAGGGGACAGAGGCTCCTGATGAGGGTGTCTGAGTCCCTGGATATGGCTGTGCCTAAATGCTGTCCCATCTCCTAGTCTTGTTGGGTATGTGAGCCAGTGAAGACTCTCTTTGGCTGTGCCATGTTTATGTTTCAGCCTGTTCTGTTGCTGGTACCCAGAGTCTTGATCAGTACATCACTTTTTAGAGATAAATAAACTGAGGCACAGAGAAGTTAAATAACCCGTCCAAGGTCAAACAGCCAGTAAGAAGAAGTTGGATTTAAATATTTAGTACATTGACTCTAAAGCCCACAACTTTAACCTAACACAGGACAATGGCCCCACCATACAGTGGTTTGGAGCCAGTGGGTAGACTTCTTAGGTCCTTGACTTTTTTTTTTTTTTTTTTTTTTTTTTTTTTTTTTTTTTTTTTTTGAGACGGAGTCTGGCTCCTGTCACCCAGGCTGGAGTGCTGTGGCATGATCTCAGTTCACTGCAACCGCCACTTCCTGGGTTTAAGCAATTCTCATGCCTCAGCCTCCTGAGTAGCTGGAACTACAGGCACCCGCCACCATGCCTAGCTAATTTTTGTATTTTCAGCAGAGACGGGATTTAGTCATGTTGGCCAGGCTGCTCTCAAACTCCTGACTTCAGGTGATCCACCTGCCTCAGCCTCCCAAAGTGCTGGGATTACAGACATGAGCCACTGTGCCTGGCCTTTTCCCTTAGGTACTGACGGCTTCATCTTGGGCTAAGAGCTCTTAGGTATGACTTCAAAGAGGGAAACATAGCTGGGCAGTCCCAGCTATGTAGACAGCTCTGTCTGAGATGGGAGGATCACTTGAGCCCAGGAGTTCAAGGCAAGCCTGGGCAACATAGCAAGATCCAAAACAAACAAACAAAACAAAAAAACTAACTAAATTATAACAATAATTAAAAGACAAAAAGGGGAAAATATTATTCAATCACTTTGAAGGCAGCAAGGTCTGGGGAAAGTGACTCATACCTATAATCTCAGTACTTCAGGAGCCTGAGACAAGAAGATCACTTGAACCCAGGAGTCCTAGACCCCATCTCTTAAAAAAGAAGAAAAAAAAAAAGATTAGCTTGATGTGGTGGCATGTGCCTTGTGATCTCAGCTACTTGGGAGACTGAGGCAGGAAAATAGCTTGAACCAGAGAGTCAGAGGTTGCAGTGAGCCAAGATTGTGCCATTGCACTCCATCCTGGCAACAGAGTAAGACTCTGTCTCAAAAAGAAAAAAAAAAAAAAAAAAAGAAGGCAGCACGGAGTGGTAGAGAGCCAGGGCTATGGGGCCATATGGCTGGCTCAGATCCTAGCCCTTTTATCACCTACATGAGTGTGGGTGAGGAATTCTCTCCTCAGAGCCTCAGTTTCCTAATCTGTAAGATGGGGCTGGTTGTGAGCAATCTCTGAGTGTTAGCAGAGTCTGCACATGCCAAGTGCTTAGCAAATCAGAGCTGATGCAGTTGCCTCCTCCAGCAGATTCTAAGGACAGTCTGCCTGGTTTTCCCACAAACAGAAGCAAAACCCTCACTTCTACTTTCTGAAATCCAATCAAACCCACCTGGGGCTCTGGAAAAGATTCTGCCCCAGCTCCTCTCGCCTCCTGCCTTCCACAGTGATCTGAAAATGACCAGCCTCTAAATCACAAGTGCTCAGCAAATAATGAAGATTCCTGGGCCCCACCCCAGATTACATGCATCGGAATCCCCGCTGAGGCAGGGCCCAAGGATCTGCATTTGACTGAGCTGCCTGTGAGGACGCTGACACACAATGACATTTGAGAAGCCATGCTTAAATTTTTTTTGTTTTTAAGACAAAGTCTCACTCTGTCACACTGGCTGGAGTGCAGGTGCACTCACTACAACCTCCACCTCCTGGGTTCAAGTGATTCTTCTGCCTCAGCCTCCCAAGTAGCTGAGATTACAGAAGCCCACCGACCACATCCTGCTAATTTTTGTATTTTTAGTAGAGATGGGGTTTCACCATGTGGTTCAGGCTGGTCTCAAACTCCTGACCTAAGGTGATCCACCCACCTCGGCCTCCCAAAGTGCTGGGATTACAGCCATGAGCCCTTGAACTGGCCAATATATTGTTAATTGGGGATAGAAAAAAAAAAAAAAGCAAGATACTATACAGAGGTATAAAGTGCTAGTCTTTGTATTACTACTTTATTTTATTTATGTAATTTTTTTGAGAGAGTCTCACTGTCATCCAGGCTGGAATGCAGTGGTGCAATCATGGCTCACTGCATCCTTGACCTATCCGGCTCAAGTGATCCTCCCACCGCTACCTCCTA